AGTTGGCTTCTTAGCTCAATTGGTAGAGCGCTGCACTAGTATCGCAGAGGTCAGTGGTTCGAATCCCGTACAGGCCTGATTTTTTTCAGGTCTGATTTTCGCTATTACATAAATAGCGCTACCTACGGCGAAGGATCGTGCATCATACGTGTTGGTCTTTTGTTATCAATTTTACTACCCTGGCACATCCGTGTGTTGAGGGGAGAACCGCCATGATTTCCTTTAAGTATAGAAACTGCAGAGCAATTCATCCTATTAAAGGCAAAAGTGAACCTCAATCCAACAGGCCCTATGCACGTCAGCTGAGTTATTACATGTTCCCCTAACTCGATTAATTGTTTTGCATGGTTTTTCAACCAGAAGCATATGTAAAGTTTACGATGAAGCCTTCTAATCCAACCTACGTTACTAATGGAAGCACTGCCAAACTGGTGTGGGACTACAGTGACCCGAACAATGATCTCCGAGGCATTATCTTTTATGTTCTAGTGGATGGAAAACAATTGAAAGAAATGCTGGTTAAGCAGAATGGTATAGTCCTAAATCATTCAGAGCTACCGTCTGCATACAAGGGAAGAGTCAAGATCGAAGGAAATGCCACCTTGGCCATTGAGAAAATAATTCCGAAAGACAACACTAAGTTTTGTTGTACATTAGTTAGTAACTTTGGAGGGCGTATGAGAAACGCTATTCAGCTTATTGTGGCAGGTTTGTATAACACCTATCTTTTTTTTTTTTTGTTTTTGTTTTTGTTTTTGCTTTTTTTTTTGCCCTCATGTAGCCGTATCGACTTGTTACTTTCTTTTTTGAGATTCTTCGCCCTCAAATGCTTAAGAAGTTTTCTCGTTTCTGTGCTTTTTCCTTCTGACAGTTTTAATAGCTATATAGCAACAACTAAAATTGATTTGAAGTATTAGATTGGAATTCGAATTCTGAACGTTTTAAAAGTCTTGAGACTCCTGTAGGAGGCTAAAATATAGAATCTCAGAAAGTCTTTGTCTACTAAAAAAAAATCGATTCTAAAGGAATATTGTTTCTTTTGAACAATATGTATTTATGAAGAACATCTATTCAATTTACAACTTTAGTTGGTGAGACTTCAGCTGTGATGGTGTTGCTCAAAAAATACCCAGAAAGAGAATAGCAGTCATATACACTCCACGCACGCAACTCAGCTACTCTTAATCAATTTGTTCTTGTAGAGCCACCAAAGATAAGTCTTCCATCAGTGCAGGGAATTTATCCGGAGGGATCCTTCGTTAATGTCAACTGCACAGCATCCGGAGTTCCAGAACCAGCTATTACGTGGATTAGACACGGAACAGTGATAAGTTCAGGGAAGGGAGCGGCACTATTGAAGTTCAACAGTCTAAGAAGAACAGATGAAGGATGGTATTTATGTATAGCAAACAACACGGCTGATACCATAACCAATCACACGGTACTCCTGGTTTACTGTAAGTAAAGTCAGTATTTCTTTTCAACATTACTATTGCCAGTTATAATCATTATTGTCACTTATCAAATGATAATCAATTATAATTACATCAACAATTCATTCAGAGCTCGAAGTGCGTTACCTGCTAAGTGTGAAAATCATTCATTAAAAGGAAGAAACGAGGCATGGAATGAATCTATTAATCTATTTAAGGAGTTTGTAGTTTTATAAAGACATATTTAAATGTTCTTAATATGTCTAGATTGGTAACACATATTATTTCAATTACTATTATAATTCATGGACGGTATTATTCCTTGCCGAAGAGTGCACAGCACATGACCACGTGTTTCATCAATAGATGTACAAGGAGACTCTTTCTATGCAATTGCTAAGGACACTTCTGAGAAAAAGCGCTATTATCAAACACTGTCACCAAAACTCTAAAACTGCAGACCAACAAAAAAAGACAGTATCATGTTACAATTTATGAATCACTTCCTAAAATAACGCCTGAGATAGATATATATGATGCTTTGTAAATCAAAATTCCACTAGCAAAAAATGATAGCAGAGAAGTAAACAAAAAAAAAAAAAATGCTGATATCAATCTTGAGGATTCCAATATTCCAATCAAATGTTGGTTCACTTTTATAACCGAATAATTGCTTGCTCACTTTACAGACCCTCTAACCATAGAACACGTGATCACATCATCCAGCTATTCTAATATTGGTCAGACGGTGACTTTGAAGTGTCTTTCAGACGGTGTTCCCACACCAATACTCACTTGGTACAAACCAAATGGAATGGAAATTCACAGAATCAGAGCCAGAGAAAACATAGCACAAGTGACGCTCAGGGAAAATCAAGATTTTGGTGATTACAAGTGCATTGCTCCCAATGGACTGAGTCCTTCTGACGACAGAATACTAAAAGTAGCGCAGATAAGTAAGGAAACGAGAAACATGAACGTTTCTTAATTAGTGCAGTACTTTTATCATAAAAATTTAGTGTGATCAAAAGTTTCTACGTAGCCTAGCAAGTAGGATGCGAAATGAGTCAAAAGAATGTTAGAACGACCGCTGACAAGGGTGAGATGCGTGTGAGATCAGTGTAGTAAAATGGACCTTTCATGACCTTATTTACATTTATATTTCGCAAACTTGACTGATTTGCCAAGAACCACACAGAATCAGAGTTTTGGCAGTTTTAGCACTTCCCTACCATCAGTGCTGAGATTTTTTCAGTAAAACTTAATCAATAGCGACATTGTAACCCAAGAGCATTTAATGCAGCGTCACTACTCACAATGAGGGCGTATTGTTATCGGAATAAACAAATCTTAGGCTACAAAATAAAAACAAAAACAAAAAAAAAAGCCAAAAACCTCATTTCAGTCTCTTTCCAGGAACACCAGGTATACTTTCTTAGTTTCGACCATTGATTTTTTTAAATCAAGTGAGCAGAATAGTTTAACACTTTACGCAGTATGTACTTTATCGATTGGTCATATCGTTGCATTTTGATGTGATTATGGAAAAATGGAAAGTTAAAGTTTTTCTCTACTGTTTTTAGAAAAACCAGGTGCACCATCCATTGTATCATCAGAAGAAAGTATTCAAGCCAGTTCACTAACAGTACGATGGACTGCACCAGCTGATGATGGAGGAAGTCCTATCACAGGATACATTGTCATTATTCTAAAGGGTGACGCTGAGATAAAAAGCGTTAATATTACCGATCCTGGTAAAACAAGTTACACTTTTGGTGGCTTGAAGAGAGATACAAACTATGCGGTAAAAGTGTTTGCAAGGAATGTTATGTTTGAAGGAGATCCTGTTGTAACCATGGTGAAGACAAAGTTTGAAGGTAAGCACTTTCTTTAAGTGTATAAAAAGAATGCGTCTATCTCCTTACCCTACTTAAAGAAAAATTTGAATTTTTAACATTCGGTTACCGTGACATTCTAGACACTATGTAGTACATATTTTTGTCAATTAAGGTCCCCCGGCAGCAGTGGAAATATATGGCCTGCCCAGTGAAACAACAGATGAAGAATTCACCTTGAAGTGGAAGGCACCAGAAGATAATGGAAGAGAAATTACACAGTACACTGTGTACCAAAGATTAGTGACTGACGGGAAAGTAGGAGAGTGGACAGTCGTAAGGAAAATCAGGGAAGTTTCAATTAATAAATTGACGGTCAAGTTAGAGAGAGGCAAGGTGTATGAATTTACAATCACTGCCACAAATGAACTTGGGGAAAGTTTGGTCGAAGAGACGATGGTCAAAAGAGTTAAAGTTGTAGATCTACAAAACAACAACCAGAGAGGTGATGATGATATTGATGAAGTATTTGTTTCTAGGTCGGCACAGTGGAAACCTGGCTTCTAGAGTCGCCTTTACTCTGACGTAGAGGGGGATGAAGCTCCGGGAAAAAAAAAAGATTTCCTCAAAAACACTAAACCCTGACCTAGAGTTCTCTGGTTCTAGTGAAATAAAGATCTAGCGAACTTGACGCGTAAATATAATGGATAATATCCTCTGGGTGTGTTTAGGGATAGCCCTACCCTCCTCTCAGAAAAAAAAGAAAAACTGTGATCCTCTTCGTCAGCAACAGGAGTTATATCTTTCGTCCTCTCAATTAGTCAACGGTCCGTTGCTTATAATCAATACTTGGGCTTCTTGACTTTTTGACCGGCCTAAAGACTTCGGTCAATCTATTCTTCAAAATTGAAAAAATTTTATAGGAATTAATGAAAAGTTTGTATTCAGACTTTACCCGAGTCTCCCTTTCGGAACGCTGGTTAGGGGAGAGAAAAAATTTGGTATCACCAACCGATCTCTAACACTACTGTTCAACAATGCTCTGTGCAAGGTGGCTAAAAGGGGCGACTTCATCATTTTTCCTCAGCTCAAGAAGAATGCAATTGCTCATGTCATGACGTCATGTATATATCCATAATTGGAGTGCTTGTGTTAGTAATCCTTGTGTTGTTCATTTACATTATCTGGTTACGCAAGAAAGGTAAATTTCATTATTTTTCAAATATATTTTGCTGTTTGGTCTGATAACAAATATGAGTCCAAGTAACTTATTGTAAATCTTTCACGCTTTTTTTGATAGGCACTGGAGGAAAACATAGGTAGGATTTCTTTTCATAGCCATTTGGAATGGACATAGATTAAGAAATTAAAACACGACAATAACAGCAACCACAATCAATTGATCACAAGAAGGCCCAGCTGTCCATTAATATCCATGAAAAGCTTCGGGGAAAAATATGTGATCTTTTTTTTGTCTTAGTTTTCGAGTGAGTTAAATTTTTAAATTAGCCTTACCGAAGACAAAAGCGCAGATATCAAAATGTGTCCTTTTTACAGCAATGATATATATATACTATGAGGAAAATATGTTAGAAATTATAAAAGCAGTCAGCTGAAGATAAATGAGGTTGTAGTACCTAATTAAAAAAACTGTTCTCGTGATAACTTGTCAGTTAGCCTGTAGATACGGAGGTAAAAGAACAAATGACTTAAATTGAACCATCTCCGTAATATGTGTCCCTATATTGTTCATTGCAGGGCGTATGAAGATGAAGGTGACTATGAGGTAAGTCCTTTAACGCTGAAAAATAGAAACGTAGAAACAATGAGAGGGTGAAATAACCTCAGCCAGCTTTATCAGTGAGCCGAAAGTTCTTGTTTTTGTCATCTTTACCTCCATTCATGTAAATACATAAAGGTAAATATCACATTGATGTCTCCTTAATTATTTTCAGAAAGATATGGAGTTAAAAGACTTGGAATTAAATTGTCCTGATTCAGATGACTTCGCCCAGCATCCCGCAGAGTACATGCATATAAAAGAAACAAGCTTGGATGACACTCAAACTCAAGCCACTGGCCAAGTTGCTGATTACGCGCCACTTCATCCATCAACGCGCTCCTGGGAAGTGTCAAGGGATCATGTGACAGTAGAAAAAATCATTGGTAAAGGTGCTTTCGGCCAGGTGGCAAAGGGGAAAGCTACAGATCTTCGTGGAAGGCCTGGGAGAACAACGATAGCCATCAAAATGCTCAAAGGTAAAGCCTTACTCTTTTGCGAACGAGAGTTCAGAAAAGTTTTACTCTTCGTTCACAGTTAGGAGAAATATGTATTGAGAATAGTTGGCTAAAATGCGATACAGTTGCTTTAAAGGAAACATTCCCTCTTTCCTCCATGTGAAATTCAATGATACGGATCCTCGACCACAACAGAAACTGAGGAGGTTTTTTATAGACCCTAATTGTTGTGTCTACTTTTTTCGTTCGCTTTTAGCTACGCTATGCTTCTTAAAGTAGGATTAGTGACTTTCATTGATTTGTCCAAGTTTCACATGATTCGGAAACAGCAAAGTGATTTCCTTTTTTTTTTACCTTTAACTTTTACTGAGTTATTCAAATAAGTAGAGATGACTGTAGAATTGTATCTTTAGATGACGCTTCAGAATCGGACACGAAGGACTTGATAAATGAACTTGAAACGATGAAACAGCTTAAACCCCATCCACATGTCATAAAACTTCTGGGATGTGTTACAGAAATTGGTGAGTTGTTTCCTTTAGCTGTTCAGTATGACGTATATTTTTTAACGCAAATAAGGTAAACTGAATAGAAGCATACCTTGTTATCTCAAGTTTGCTAGAGCGTTGTGTACAGCTCCTTTCTCGGTAAAACCACTTCCTTTTTTTTCTTCCTGTTTTTATTAATCTACTTTTTGTTCAGAGCCTCTATTGGTGTTGATCGAATATGTTCCTTTTGGAGATTTACTGGGTTACCTGAGAAAGAGCCGTGGATTAAATGATACTTACTTCAAAGACCCGGATATAAAACCACGAACGAATCTGACCTCAGAGCAGCTGATGAGATTTGCTTGGCAGATCGCTGATGGAATGAGTTACTTGTCCTCAAAATCTGTGAGTTTTTGTCACAAAAACATCAGAACAGTTAGTCCAATCCTAGTGTATGGAATCGCGGATTTCTTAGTTTGCGATACGATGGCCACAGTTTTTAATGACTTTTTCCGTAGGCGGCTACTGGTAGTTCAAGAATGAGACGGCAATGTCCGCAAAGGATGGTCGACAGCGGTGCTACGTACAATCCTGATAACCGGCTTACGAAAACTACTAAATAGTTTGATTTTATGCCGGATTTAGAATGGAAGTCTCATAGTAATCCCATTCGATTGATTATTATTTTTCTGTGGTTAGATCATCCACCGAGACCTCGCAGCCCGTAATGTGTTGGTCGGGGAAAACGAAACATGTAAAGTAACAGATTTTGGAATGGCCAGAGATGTGCAACAGGAAAATGTTTATGAAAAAAAGACGAAGGTAATTGAAATATGAGTTTAACTTCAATATACACTTATTAAAGTTGTAATCTGTTATCCTAGTTTGACTCCCCTCGAGCTTCAAAATCTTTTTTTCATCGAATCTTAAATCTCCATTTTTTATGTTATGTTTTTAAATGAATACTGTTCACGGAGTATCTATGAATTCCTAAGGGTCGTCTTCCAGTAAAGTGGACAGCTTACGAGGCGTTGTTGTATGGCACATACACCACCAAAAGTGATGTGTAAGTACAGGCGTTTATTACTTGTTACAATAATAATAATAATAATAATAATAATAATAATAATAACAATAATATTAATAATAATAATAATTTGGCCACCTATCAGCGGCCAAATTAGTAAGCTTCACGGAAAAGCAGAAAGCTAAACTTCGAAAATTGAAAAGGGGGTTTTCTAGGAGTCAAAAGAACGATGAGGCGAGAGTCCTTAACCAGCAGTTCCAAGCCGATGCTAGCAAGGTCTACGCAAATATGCGCGAGTTGCTTAATAAAGACAAAGAGGGTGAACAACTTAGATACACAACGAGTGATCAGAATACACAAGAGGGGAGAGAAATGTTTAACAACGTAGAGGAAGCATCTGGACGGTTACGATCTGATAGAAGGTGCGCAAAGGGGTGCGCGTGCGGGATGTAGCGGTACAATGGACAATCTATTAATAG